GTAGCTATCTTCTTCACCAATATCCATGTCTCTTCTGATCAGATCCTCCTCCTACGTCTCTCACCTCACTCTCTTCCAACCTAGATATTCAAAACCGTCCTCGTTCACCAATCAAATCTCCTTCGTTTCTTCTTTCAATCAAAACCCTGGTCTCAATTTGGTCTATAAACGAAACCCTATAATGCAATCTGTTTCGAAAATGACTATTAAGAGCTCATTGATTGATCCCGACGGTGGTGAATTGGTGGAATTGATTGTACCGGAATCTGAAATCGGAGCGAAGAGAGCTGAATCAGAGACGATGCCGAAAGTGAAGCTGACGAAGATTGATCTTGAGTGGGTTCATGTGATTAGTGAAGGCTGGGCTAGTCCTTTAAAAGGGTTCATGACAGAAGATGAGTATCTACAAAGTTTGCATTTTAATTCTCTTAGATTAAAAAATGGGACTTTTGTGAATATGTCTCTTCCTATTGTTCTTGCTATTGATGAAGAGACTAAGGAACAAATCGGATCATCCAAGAATGTTGCTCTTGTTAGCCCTCAAGGAGATATCATTGGTTCTCTTCGAAGGTATATGAAACTTTCTGGCTTTGTTGATTTATAACCTTGATATTTGAAGTAATTGACTGTTTTTGTGAATCTTTGTTTGTGAATTGCAGTGTGGAGATATACAATCTTGAAAACTGATTGTTCTGGAGAAGGATTTCACTACTCTGTTCCTCTCCAAAGACGCAGCAGAGATAGCAGCATTAGCAACTAAACTGAGGAAAGATCCAAACCTTACTGCTGAAGAGATAGTAAGATTGAAGCTGATGGAAGAGATTCCAACGTTCAGCGAAGTGTTCCAAGAGAACAAAGGGGTGATTGAAGAAGCAGCATTAGCAACTAAACTGAGGAAAGATCCAAATCTTTTGTCTATTTTATGTAATGTACTATGGAAACTCAAACCTACCCGTTAGTTGATGAAAAAATTAGACCTTTTTGTGTTTCATTATCTTGTTTAATACATCTTACAAAATAACCACCCTTCGTGATCTTACAAAATGAGAGATCAAAGATTCAATCTTTCTTTTATTGCCAACAAGAAAAACAGAAGGCTACACAATATCAACGAAACGAGGAAGATTACAGTTTTGTCTTCTCTCATGTTTCAAGAGTATCATCATCAACATCATTACATAAAGAATATAACTTGATTCACTGAACAAGCACCAGCCTTCCACTACCCATACCTTGTCCAAAATCACCACCACCATCATCATCATCATCTTCTTCTTCAGCATTCTTAGGCACAGTAACAATCAAATCTCCATCAACACAAGCCACAGTAACAAGCTCAGGCCTAGTAGATTCCGGTAGCCTAAAACGCCACACGTCAAGCTCTAACTCGTCTAAAGACAAACCAAGAGAAGACGACCCATTTGTCCTAACAACAATCTTGGTTATACCAGGATGAATCTCAACCATATAAGCCCTCATTTCTCCATCACCGCCACAAAGACCTACCGTCTCCGCCACGAATCGAAAACAGTCGTGTCTCTCTTCCACTGTTACATCTGCCTCTGACCTCAATGGCAGCTCCAGAACACGGTTGAAGATATGTGGCAATCGCCGGAGATTCTTTCCGGGTTCTCGGGTCGGGTTATGATGATGATGATGGATCAAAGTGTTGTTGAGGTTTCTGGGAATTGGGTGGACTCTCATAGAGCTTCGGTCTCTTCCATTCTTCATAAAGCTTTCCTCTATCACTTTCTA